GTGGCATTTAACATTTTTTGTCTTTAGTCTAGTGACCTTCTTGACTTAGATTTTGGAAAAGTCTACATGTTTTGTCTGTGGTTACAGAAAATTTATTATCCTCTATTTTGTTTTATGGGAAATTTGTCCCTATATACATACAAAAAAAAAATTCATTATCTAACCAAAAACACCTTATCTCTCTTTATTTCTCTCATATCTCTCTAATTTCTCGTTAAAACTAATTGCTATTATTTTTTTGATTATTTGGCAAATAAACCCTTGCTTTATCACCCTAAGCTAGTGGCATTTTGCAATCTCCTCCTCTCTTTGAATATAGACTTTCCTGCAAACTATGAGAAGCAATACAAGTTTTTCACAAACAAAAAGTATGAGAAGCATGAGACTGTTTCTATTTAGTTGCTTCAATGTGCTTAGAGCATCCACATCAATGAACCCCCTCTTGGGGTTCATTGATTCAATTGTTTATTATTAAAAAATTTTGATTTTCTTTATGATTTTTTTTTAAAAAAAAAAAAAAAAAAAATTGACCAACCGCGGGTCGCCACGTGTCCCGGGACCCGCGCTACAGTGATGAACCGGGTTCACCGCAGAGAGTCTGCAAGAGGCAGGTTCATCACTATTTCTTATTTTAATATTTTTTTTTTTTGAAAACCGTGTGAACCCCCATCTGAACCCTTGATGGGGGTACTCTTATGCTACTTGAAGTATACGCTCGTACCTATGAGACCGATAGGAAAGTGTTCTTCGAGCACGAGACTGTTCAATGCTCTTTAAAATTTACGATTTGTTACAACTAAACTATTCTACTCAAGCAATGATAACACAATTGTCTTTAATTAGTGGCTTTCTTTAGAAATCTATTGGAGTGGAAATATTTTTTAGTATAGATAAATATGAAGACTTGTAGATGAGTCATACGTTTGCTTCAGATAAGCTTTACAATTCATATTGTGTAGTCTCTTATGGTAAGGTCATAGGCCGACTTGGATGTTGTATACATACTTAGGCATTGACATTATAATAAGACAAGCACTTTTGACATCCAAATCTATAAAACCCAAGATGTGTCTCAAAAAAAGTGACATATAAGTGGCAAACACTAGTATTATGTTTTAATGAGTTCACTGGTTGACTTGGATGGCTTGAGTCTAGGCGACAAGAATCCATGTCATTTTCCAAAAAGTATCGCATCTGTGGTTGTTGAGCCAATTTATTATCACCACAATGTGAATTGAAAAATTCAAACTGCGTCGTCTCTTATAAAATTAGTTTCCAACAAATTATGATAAGCATGCAATATCCTTTAACCAGAAAAAAAAAAAATTTTAAAACACACACAATTTGAGAAGCATGAAAGTGTTTCTTTTGCTTTCTTTTCTTGCTCTTGTAATACTCGAAGCAAATGGTTACACCGCTGAAACTGATGGGCAAGCCTTGCTGAAATTTAAGTCTCAAATCTCTGAGGAAAAAAGAGCTGTCTTGTCGTCATGGAATCACTCATCCCACTTCTGCAACTGGGAGGGGGTTACATGTGGCCGCAAACACAAGAGAGTTACACGTCTCAACCTGGGAAATTTTTCATTAGGTGGAGTGATATCACCATCAATTGGTAATCTTTCGTTTCTCATATCACTCGATCTCAATGGTAATTCTTTTGGTGGCACTATTCCTCAAGAGGTGGGAAACTTGTTTAGACTTGAATACTTGGATATGGGATTAAATTCTCTGGGAGGTCAAGTTCCAGTTAGTTTGTACAACTGCTCTAGATTGTCCAGTCTTCTTTTAGACTATAATCAACTTGGAGAAAGCGTTTCTTCAAAAATAGGGTCATTGACAAAGCTGGTCAATCTAAATCTTTATAGTAACAATCTGAGAGGAAAACTCCCCGCGTCTCTAGGAAACTTGACATCTCTAAACCAGCTTACATTAGCATACAACAAGCTAGAAGGAGAAATTCCGAGTGATTTAGCTAAGTTGACACGAATATTGAATCTTCAATTAGTACAAAATAATTTCTCAGGTGTTTTCCCACCAGCTATCTACAATTTTTCCTCACTCAAGTATTTAGGCCTCGCTTATAATAATTTCTTTGGTCGGTTGAGACCTGATTTTGGTATTCTACTACCAAATCTTCTAACGTGTAATTTGGGATGGAACTATCTCACGGGAGTCATTCCAACAACAATTTCGAATATCTCGACTCTTCAAAGATTGGGAATGAATGAGAACAGTCTGACAGGGAATATTCCTTTTACATTTGGTAAAATACCAAATTTAAAATGGTTGTTACTAAGTTCCAACTCTTTGGGAAGTTACTCTTCTAAGGATTTTGAATTCCTCACTTCTTTGACTAACTGCACCCAACTAGAGAAACTAGCTATTGGTTGGAATAGGCTCGGGGGTGACTTCCCTGTTCACATTTCTAATCTCTCCTCCAACCTCATAACCTTGGAAGCGGGAAGAAACTTCATTTCCGGAAGAATCCGTCACGACATTGGGAATCTCATAAGCCTACAAACTCTTACGTTCCATCAAAACATGTTGTCTGGACCACTCCCTACTTCTCTCGGGAAGCTTTTAAACCTTAGGGTTGTGAGACTATCATCAAACAGATTATCAGGAGAGGTACCGTCGTTTATAAGCAACTTCACTATGCTAGAAACACTCGATTTAGCTAACAATAGTTTCCAAGGGATTGTTCCTCCAAGCCTCGGAAAATGTAGCAATTTGCTACATCTTGATATTAAGTCTAATCAGTTGAATGGGAAAATCCCTCGAGAGATTATGCAAATTCAACGTCTCCTTCTCCTCGACATGTCTGGGAATTCTTTGGTTGGGTCTCTACCTGAAGATATTGGAAAACTAGAGAATCTTGGTACACTGGCGGTTTCTGATAATAAGTTATCAGGGAGACTCCCACAAACCATGGGGAACTGTCTCACAATGGAATATCTTTATCTGGAAGGGAATAATTTTGTTGGAGATATTCCAGATATGAGAAGGTTGGTTGGTCTTAAAGAAGTTGACTTCTCCAAGAATAATCTCTCTGGGAGTATACCTGAGTATCTTACCAAGTTTCCCAAGTTGCAGTATCTTAATCTATCTGTTAACAAGCTCAATGGAAGGGTGCCTACACAAGGAATATTTCAGAATATTACTATGGTTTCTATATTTGGAAACAAAGATCTATGTGGAGGGATCAAGGAGTTTCAACTAAAGCCATGCCTCAGACAAGAACCAAAGCGTTCCTCTCATCTCAAGAAAATTGCGGTTGGAGTCAGCGTAGGGATTCTGTTGCTGATGTTCGTAGCTGCGGTTTCTTTGATTTGGTTCAGAAAAAGAGAGAAAAATAAGAAGATCAGTAATCCAACTTCTTCTTCTTCTGCCTTGGAAGTCTTCCATGAGAAGATAAGTTACGGAGATCTTCGAAACGCGACAAATAGCTTCTCCGAAAGCAATATGGTCGGGTCAGGCAGTTTCGGTACAGTGTTCAAGGCATTTCTCCCGGCATTGGAGAACAATGTTGTTGTTGTTGCGGTAAAAGTACTAAGCATGCAAAGACGTGGAGCAATGAAGAGTTTTATGGCGGAATGTGCATCTCTCAAGGACATAAGGCATCGTAATCTTGTGAAACTATTAACGGCTTGTTCGAGTATTGATTTCCAAGGAAATGAATTTAGAGCTTTAATCTATGAGTTCATGCCGAAGGGAAGTATCGATGCGTGGCTGCACCCCGAGAATGTTGAAGAGCTTCATAGGCCTTCAAGAGCCTTGACACTTCTTGAGAGGCTGAATATTGCTGTAGATGTTGCTTCTGCTTTAGACTATCTTCATGTTCATTGCCACGAACGTATAGCTCATTGTGATCTCAAGCCAAGCAACGTCCTTCTAGACGATGATTTGACTGCGCATGTTAGCGACTTTGGTCTGGCTCGTCTTCTCGACCAGGAGTCTTTCTTCAGTCAACTAACCTCAGCTTGTGTTAGAGGAACAGTGGGTTATGCTGCACCGGGTAAAAAACTATCACTTGCATATTCGAATTTTAAATAAAAGAAAATTAGTTTATTTTATTGTTTCTGTTAATTATGGTTGCAGAATATGGGATGGGAGCACAGCCATCAATACATGGTGATGTGTATAGCTTTGGGGTTCTCCTTTTGGAAACGTTCACTGGAAAAAGACCTTCGGATGAGTTATTTGGGGGAGACTTTACCTTAATTAGCTACACCAAAACGGCGTTGCCTGAAAGAGTTTTGGAGATTGCAGACAAAACGATTCTTCAGAGCGGTCTCAGGGTTGGTTTTCCGGTTGCTGAGTGCTTGACATTGGTTTTGAATGTTGGACTTAGGTGTGCTGAAGAATCACCAATGAACCGTTTGGCAACGAGTGAAGCTGCAAAGGAGTTAGTCTCAATCAGAGAGAGGTTCTTTAAAGCTACAAGAACAGTCAGACGTTGAAGTGTGTATGACTTCCTCTACAAACTTTGTTATCCACTTAAAAAGGGGCTTAATCTGAGGTCTATGTAATATCATCTTTCAAAATTTCTGTTTTTTACTTCATGAAACCTGCAGAATATTGTTAATGAATGCTTGTACTATTTTAAGACAACAGATGAATGTTGTATGATTAATGTTTCACTTTCTACTCAGCAGTTGCCAACTTACTACAAAAACACAGCTGCCTTTAGTTCCTTCCTCGGATTATGAATCAACTAAGCAAACACTAAGACTATGCTTTTTCGCCTATAAAACAACAAGACCACACCCAAAAGTGACAAACTTCTCAAAATGCCCCATTATACAGTATTAGGTTTACCCATAAGTAAACTATTGTGTTATCCACTCTTAACTCTAGCTTGTATCTTTACATTACATCCAAAATATGTTCTCACTCATTCCTCTTTTTAAGAACCACGAATTAATTATCTAATAAACTCTTAAGCTTTCTGCAAATCGCCACACAAATGCTTGGCCGGCCCTGGTGAATAGTTCATGCAAAAAGATTGGTAATACTGTTTCAATTAAAACACAAGCTGTTGACAAAAATGTGTCACCAAACAACAAATAGAAGAAAATAGTGCTATGATATCATCATCATTAACAAAATCTTTTAAGCTCAAGAAAAAGACATGGTACGAAAAATGTTTTTGTCTTTGGTTTGACATGGAGACATGATGGTATTGTCTTTAGTTGATGTACTGAGAGAGCCACTTGAATCCCTCGCCATACCCCATTTTGCGGACAATGCTGCACATGAAGACCTCAAGTGGGCGAACACCAGAATCTCCTCCAGCTGTTGTCACTTTCCCCTTACCGGTGGTGAAGTTGGTGAGACCCAAGTGATACCTAAGCTCGTCTTCCGAGGCTGCATAAGTGATATCAATCTTGTTTCCAAGAATCAGAAACGGGACAGTAGCAAGGGCTTCATCAGACAAAAGAGCGTCTAGCTCTTTCTTTGACTCTGAAAATCTCTCCTTGTCATAAGCATCCACGAGGTAGACCACTGCATCAACCTTTCAGACAGAACAAGAAACGAGTTTCTATCAGCAAAGAGAAGACCATGCTTCAATTGATAGACTAATAGAAACAATTTTAAATCCTAATATGCTATAAAGAATGAGTTTCTATCAGCAAAGAGAATACCATGTTTCCACTGATAGACTAATGTAAAAAAAAAACAATTTTAAATCCTAACATGCTAATACACGCAAACATACTTTCAGTTTGGTCTACATAACTCATAGCCATGGTTATAATGTCGTTTCGTTCTAATGCTACCAATGTCTTGCATTCTAATGTAACAAAGATATATCATAAAACCAAGAAGTAGGTCCCCAACAGAATATTAATGCCAAAAAGTTATCTCTTGACATAACTCATAGCCATGGTTCTAACTCTTGACATTTTTCGTTTTTTTCTTATACTTTTCGGCTAAGAGACAGTCTTATATCTCTTATTTAAGAACAGTCTTTTAACCAAAACTAATTACTCCAGTCTTTAATGATTGTCTAACAAGTGAAAAAATAAGCAAATGGTTGATTTTAAAGTTTCTAATAGACCTGAAGGAAACAAATGTAAGCAAATGTGTAATTGAATTGTAATGGAATAAAGTAGAATGCCAACTATAATTATTATTATTAATCTATATGGATTAGCTATTACTCTGAATCTGAAGAAAACATTATAAGACAGAGGGGAGATGTAACCTTGGCATAGTAATCTTTCCAAACACGTCGAGCAATCTGATGGCCACCCAAATCAAAAGCCTTGAACTTGATTTTCCCAATGCTAAGTTCCTCGGACGTTGGATGTTGTGTCGGCTGGTGCTGAACCAATCTCTGTAACCAAATCCCAATCAATCTACCGGAAATAAAAACAAAAGGAAATCGAATCGAAGAAGCCAAGGATGGAGAAAAAAAAAAGACAAACCTCGTCTTTGAGCATGTGAAGTAGTGTGGTTTTTCCTGCATTGTCGAGACCGAGAAACAAGATCTTTGCCTCTTTCTGCCATAGACCTAACGAAGCCAAGATTCCGTAGAACCAATCGAACAAAAACATGATTCTCCTTCTTCTTCTTCTTCCTCACAGAAGAAACTGAAGAAAAAAGGTCAGATCTTTGTTTGGATTCGAAAGACAGAATGTGAAAGTTTTATGCCTAGATAATTAAGAAGCAGACGTGGCTGATGATTGAGGTGGCTTGTCCACGTGGTAAATTATGATTGGAGGAATTTATTATGGATGCCAACGTGGACATCTGTTCTAGGAATGACCGGCAATTATATTTCACTGCTTTTTGTTATGGTTGAAAGATGATATATTTCAATGTGAACAATTTTGTTAGTATTTTTTTGTGGAAATTTGCTAATATAAACCTTAATGAAACATTTTTTTAATCTATTTACTCTTTAAAAGTTATTAGAATACTATAAATTTTTTTTTAGTTTTAAAATATAAAAATAAGTGAATAAAGAGCTATCGAATTTCGATTATATTTCTGAAGCAAAGGTGATTTAGTATACTACGAAGATTTTGCAATGAAGCATAACTTCACTTACAAAATTATTAGTTTGAATTTAACATTTTACCAAAAAATATTAGGTTGATACAATTGTAATGTCTTCATTGTTTATACTTGTATTTTATGATTAGACCCGGCTCAAGAGATGAATGGACCTTATGCCATTTTCATTTCTTTTCTCTAAACTACTAGTAGATAAATTTAAAAGTTCGACCCTTAATGTATAAGAACATCTCCATTGGAGGTTCTTAGGAGGAGTTCACCCATTTCCCAAGAAAAAAATAAAATAAAATAATATTATTTTGGTGAACCTCTCTCTCAAAAGTTTATGGTGGTGAACCTGGTTCACATGGGCTTCGCCACGTGGCGGCCCCCGTTTGTCCGATTTTTTCTTTTTTTTTAAAAACAAAAAAAGAAAAATTAAAAAATCATTTTTTTTTTTGGTGAACCTCCCATGGGGTTCACCAATATGGATGCTCTAAGAATTTTAAAATTTAAGACCCTAAAATAATATTAAAAAAACTAGTTAAAAAGGTAAGACCATGTGCATATGCACACACTGACACACACACACACAACACACCCTCAAAACCGGGTGCTGTCAACAGGTATGTTGCTGAAGATATGTTTCGACTAACAAAGCCAATATCGCTAAAACTACTACAGCAAAAACAATAAGGAATTTGATCATGCACAAATATGATGGCGCAAATGAAGATCCGAAGCCAAAAGATATCATTTACCCTTGGCGTGCAAAGCATAGATGCAAAATCTTATTATTTAGGCTCTAACTGGTGACCATTAAAATAGAAATATGAATGAGTAGGAAAATAATAAGTAGGAATATAATAAAAGGAATGAAAAGGAATATTTATTACTTTGGTTCCATATCAATTTTGATAAGGAATGTTTTTGTTCTATAATTCCTTAGAATTCAAGGAATGATAAGGAATCATACGCATGAAATATTCCTTATGAATGGTGTATTTTTTAAGGAATAAGTAGGAATTGACTATTCCTCTTCGTTCCCTATGTTACCATTTAGACCCTTAGTATGAAATGCGCATGACTATGCAATTAATGCGGTAATACCCCAAAAAACTATGATAAAATACCAAACTAATTAAACATGCTAAAATCAGCAAATTCGGGTACTAATGCACATTTTGAAAACAGATTGGAATGGTAGATTCAAGTATCTGTTTATGTATTTTGACCTATCTGTAAGAGTTTTACAAAGCTATTCTTAGGGTCCTAGTGGTGAATGTGGCACTTTTGAAGAGTAAATACAGTAAAACCTCTATAAATTAATAATGTTGGGACTTTGAAATTTTATTAATTTATAGAGATATTAATTTACAAAAGTTTTCTTATTTAGATTTTTTTCTCTATTTTTTCCATTTTTATTTTTAAAATAAAAAAGATATTTGATTTTTGCGTATATACATTATTTAAATTTTAGAATTTTAACTTTTATATTCTTTTATTATCTTATTTAGTGTATACTTTTATGTTTCATAGAATTGTTACGTGGTTTTCGATATAATTTAACTACATATTATCAAAATACAATGAAATGTTAAAAAAAAAGTATTTTTACTATAAATATAAATCCAACAATATAATGTTAGATTCTACTTATATAAAATTATTTATAGATAGATTATTAATTTATGATTTTAATGGGACTATATATTAACATGGAAGTTTTAAAAATATTATTATCTTATTATTTTATCGATTTATGTTATATTTTACACCGGCCCAAGTTGGGACCGGTAATATTTATTAATTTATAGAGATTATTAATTTATCGAGTATTAATTTATAGAGGTTCTAGTGTACAAGTTTCAAGAGTAAATACATTACCCCTATGTCTATTTTCAGTTGGGGGATTTTATAAACACCATACTAATTACTGAAGGAAAATTTAAAATCAGATGGGGGGCAAGGTACGCTTTGCTATCTGCCCCTAAATACATTCCTCTATTAGATATAAGTTGGTCAAGTCTAATGGAGTTCCTATCTTCTATATGTAATATATTAGATTTCAGAGGTTTGGATTTGGTTATCTACTCTAAAGGTATCTCCAACCCAACTTCATTTTTTACTCTAAAATGGAGTAAAAGGGAATATGGAGTAGAAAACACTCCAACCCTACTCCATATTCTACTCCATAATAGAGTTTACTCCATAAATGGAGTAATCTGTTTTTTGTTTGTTCATCACTCCATTATAGAGTGGAAAATGGAGTGGGGGTTGGAGCATTTTTACTCTATATTCTCTTTTACTCCATTTTGGAGGAAAAAATGGAGTTTTACATTGGAGATGCTCTAAGCTTAAGGTCCCATTTTCCTTGAGGAATACCACTATTCTCGAGGCTTTTAGTCTCGGCAGATGTGACTCATTCAAGTTCCCATCTCCTACTTGGAAATCACTACTAATAATCAGAGATTGGATCTCGCAAGTTTTTAAGTTTATTAAGTAAACTGCTCAACGCTTTCGGAGGTTCCCTTTGTTATGAGAATGTCACTAATCCCCATAAATTGAGATTCAGTGGTTGCTCGAGGGTGGATCTACTGCTGATCGAAAGAATGTGCAGATGAGAGATAATAGAGAAAGTATGAGAAAGTCAGGAATTTATCAAGTCTAAAACAAGCTGCCACGCCCACAATTTCACCATTTTTTTTGGTAGCTAAAGAGTTCTAACATCCCCAACAAACTAGCGCTAAAATAATTCTTTAAAAAAGAAAAACAGATACGACTCTGAAAACTTGTTGGATCCTTTATAATCTCCACATTCTTCGGCTTAGAGCTCGTCCTGTAAGTAAAATCACAAAATTAGTCAGTCACACAGCTTCGAAATAAACACTTCTTTATATACTCTTGGTTGTGGACACATACATGGGCGGCATCATCCTTGTCTGAGGAGGTTTCTTCCTTGGCTTCCTCAGTTTTTGAATCAGTGTCGGATTCATCTCCTTCTTGGTCATCTTCCTCTGGTTCATCTTCAGCCTGTACACAACATAATTTATATCACCACTTATTTTTAATATAAAGAGAAAGCATTGTGAAACCCGAGAGATTCTTACATCAGAATCAGCACCGGGAGCATCCTTTGACTCCTGGTAAAAACAAATAAATATACAAGTTGTTGATTATTCCCATGAGAAACTTATTTGGAACTAGAGAAGAATTTGGGTGGAGAAAGCTTACCTCTTCCTCTCTCTTCTTCTCAGCTTCGTCGAATGCTGCTTTCTCAGCCTGTAACGCCAGATTGTATTAGCTCTATGAGATTATCAACAACACTAACCAAACTTCATTTTAAGAAAAACAAAAGAGTTAAGGATTAACATACATCCTTGAGCTTTCCCCAGGTTTCCTCAGCCAGCTTCTTAGCGTACTCTGGGTCATCGCACACCAAGACATTATCGAACAATGATCCAGATTTCACCTAAATAATGAAGGATGTGTTTAGTCACTAACATATACGATCACCAAAAAAACCCAAAAAAAAACAAGTATATATTATTTTTGTAACAAGATATCGCTATTACCTGCCACAATTCTACTCCAACATACTTCAATTTGGGGAAGACATAGAGTTCTGGATCATCCTTGAAGTCTGCATGAAATTGAGATGCTTAGACTTAATGCATCTTCAGTTAAATATAACATATGAACTGACTCAAGATCGTGTAAGATTGTAATTCATTTAAAAAATTGAACGACTATCTCAAAGCCACGGGATTACAAATGCATTTTCTTGCCTAAATACAATGAACATTGTAATTATATACGGTTGCAGAAGAATATTTACCAGGGTTGTCAATCATTGGAGCCTTCCATTTTCCCTTGTAGTTAGGGTTCTTAATTTTCTACAAAACAATATATCACAACAGTTAGAAGACAGTGCATAGTTTATATACAATCTTATATACGCTATTCGATTGCAAAACCAACAAACCTTGGGCTTCCATTCACCGTTGTACTCGGGGTTGGGAATGGTAGGGGCAGTCCACTCACCATCTTCTTCATCATCCCAGTCCTCAGGCTAACAAAAACAAACGATCCATAATCAAAACGAGAAAATGATATAGATTAGTTTTACATCATTGTTAGAAAAAGATTCAAACCTTCTTGGCATCAGCGTCTGGGATCTCCTTTGGGATGTCATCGTATCCAGCTGGCTTTTTGTCTTCAGGATCAGGAATGTACTCTTTGTCATCCCAGTCTTCAGGCTGTAAAACAGAGACTCAGATTTATGACAACTTGTATCACACACGTAGAAGAGTTCAAGATACTAGTTACCTTCTTGGCGCTTGGATCCTTAATCTTCTTGGCTGGGAGGAGATCCCAGTCAGAGTAGAGGCTACCAGTCTGCTTCTCAACGTTATCAATAAGAATACTGTAAGTAGCATCTGGGCGGAGGATGAATGTGTAGACATGAGTGAGCTGATCAGTCTCACATGGAACCTCCTTCTTGATCAAATGGTTTGTTCCATTGTAGGTAAGGATAGCATGCACTTTCTTAGTATCATACCCACAGATATCAGGACCAAACATGATGCTGCAGGTAAAAGAGAAGATTTAAGCATAAC